TTAAAAATTTTATTTTATTTTGTTATGTTATGTTAGTCACCATACAGTACATCATTAGTTTTGATGTAGTGTTTCATGATTCATTGTTTTCATATAATGAAATCTCTGTGACATAACAAAATGTCTTAATTAGTGAATGTTTTAATGAATACAAATGATGAAAGTGATTCTTCTAGTCTCCTGAGAGGCCTTCATCCATATAATATTACATGCAAGTGTATAAAAGTTTTCAGTACTTCAAAAATCACATTTTAGAGACACCTGGGTGGCTCGGTGGATTAAGTGGCTGCCTTCGGCTCAGGTCATGATTTCAGGGAGCCCCATGTTAGACTCTCTGCTCAGTGGGAAGTCTGCTTCTCCCTCTGCTGCCCTCCCCCGCCCCCTGCCGGGTTTAAGTTCTCTTGCCTGTGCTCTATCTCTCAAATACATAAGTAAAATCTTTTTTTTTAATCACATTACTTTATTTTTCTATTTTCAATGTTAGAGGTATTTGGTGAAAATTTTGCTTTTGAAGGAAGTGGGTGTTGGCACTGTCAAAAAGGAAGTGTATCCTTTAATACATTAAATGTGTATTTGCTTTCCAACCAGAGATCAAATTTTAAAGCTATTAACTGATATATATATTTCTTGAAAAGTAACATAAGCCATAAAATACATTTCATTTATGTTTTTATTCATGTTTTTACTGTCACCTAATCCATAAAAGTGTCTACACTTTGTGAAATGTGTGTAATACCAGGCCAGAATATCTTATACCCAACCAGCACATTCATGTTCATACCTGAACTTTGGGGCATTAATGCTCTGCCAGGAGCTAATTGTCATTTACTAGGGGGAGGCTAATATAGGTTTCTACATGACAACAAAAATATATGACCTTATGTCAGATTATTAAGCCCACATGGGGTACATGAGAAGTGGACCAAAATGCACATTCTCCAAAGTCAGAAATGGAGAGGTATTGCATAAGGAAGGGTCAAATATGTGTTAGAAGAAAACTCAGTCTGATGATTTGCACTGAGCTTCAAATAATTTCTGATGTTTTCAACAGTTGCATTAGTTTCTTAGCTTTTGCAGGCCTCAGCAGTTAAAAGTGTTGACAGGTACAGAATATATGGCACTGTTTTCTTAGTGGAATTCTAATTTATTTTATAGGCACCCATAGTGTTCAAGTAATAATAATGATAGAGATAATGTATTTGCAAGGATATCTTTTTACATGTAATTTCAATTTACATTTAAGAATATAAAAAATATAATATTCATTGCTTCTGAACACAACTATCATACCACCTGTTAGAGCCAAAGTCAATTCTGAATTTATCATTGCTCATGCTGTTATCATCTAAGGGATTTATGACTACTGTAGATAAAACATCAAAATATCCATAACATTCATTCAAGTGTGATCCTCTACATATGTTGACAATAAAATATATATATGAAAAAATATCCATTTTGAACTTGCTTAAATAACAGTGTAATTTATATAGTATTTCGCTAGCTCATATACAGTTTTTTTCATGTCTAATATTGCATTTGGTAATAATAGCAGTGATAGTAGGTATGGCATGTAACAACTGTTTTCTTTTATAGAAGAGACCCCAAGTATGTGGGGAGTAAAAACAGAAATTTTGGTGTTCCATATTTGAGCTCATGATATTTCTTAGAGTCAATGGTAGTAGGCTAGTGAAATGCAACAGACCCTCTGATAAAGTCTGATAAAATACAATATTTGCAATCAATCTGAGACAAACTCATACTGAATTAGATTTAACCAAGATGAAAGATATTCATTTTGTTTCAGTTCTTCAGTTGATTTCAATGCACACATTTGACAAAGAACCAACATATTTTACAGTGCTTTTTAAGTTATACATATAATCTGTATTTATATGTCTTTATAAGTTATTCCTTATTTTGTGAATAAAAGTATTTGATGAATTAAATATCAAATTCATCCACTACATATACTTTTATTCTCAATAAATAACCCATGTATTTCTTTTGAGAAATTCCACTTATTCATCAGTTTTTCATAAACATTTCTCATCTTTCTGAACAGAACACAATATAGAGGTAGTGAACTAATATGATATATTTGAATGATATATTTGAATATTGTGTGCTAAGAGATCCTATGTTGTTGTAAACACTTTGTTTATACACCCACAAATGTGCATATAAAATATCCTATATATATATATGCAAATATATACCTTCTTTTCATATTCTGTATTTTATTTATATATCCTAATACATCACTATAGGTAGGGAAATAATTCATTTCCAAAATCTAGCTTGCACAAAGGTAAAATTAATTTTTTTAAGAGAAGTGCTTTCGACAAGAGAGGAAAGTTAGATTCACTCACATAACAAGAGAAAACTTACCTCAGATGTAACTCTGCAAGAAGCTTTTTTAGATTGTAAAAAATTACTAGTTTACTCAATTTCCTGACAAGCTTACATAATAAATGGCAATTAAAGGACCACTGAGTGAATGTGAAGGATAATAGAAAATGTTAGGTGACTAGAAGAGGAAATTAAAGAGAAATGGAATTGCAGAGAAATCAAAAAGTAAGGAAAAGAGAGTGGATAATTAGAGAAAAGGCAAGTATCAAGACTTGAGCCATGAAAGGGGAGATGGACTATAAGTTTAGACAAAACTTGCTTAGAGTGTCCTTTCAATATTGAAGATAAAACTCATTGTTCATATGAGTCTTCCCTGTTAAAAACTAAATGAGTGGTGTTTTCTTTTTTTTTTTTAATTTTTTATTTATTTATTTGAGAGAGCGAGAATGAGAGAGAGAGAGTACATGAGAGGGGGGAGGGTCAGAGGGAGAAGCAGACTCCCCGCTGAGCAGGGAGCCCGACATGGGACTCGATCCCGGGACTCCAGGATCATGACCTGAGCCGAAGGCAGTCGCTTAACCAACTGAGCCACCCAGGCGCCCAATGAGTGGTGTTTTCTTTATGTTATTTCCTTGATGCCACTTAAGTCTTCAAATAAATTATGTATATCCATTAAAATTCAGCTAAGGTAAGAAATCTGTATGTTACAGATTTTAATATACTTAATTCTTACTATTTGCTTACTTTATTCATTTTATATTAATCTTTATGTGTGTCAAGTTGCTTGCCACTGGCTGGCCAATACAATAATGTGGAAAATAAGGCACAATTGAGGGCCTAGGCATTCATATTTCAAGCTTTGTAAAGTGCTTTGTCTTCATAGCTAGAAATGGAGGAACAAGTTCCATCACTGTGTACAGATGGAAATAGATAATGATCCATATAATCTACTCACTTTTGAAGTAAGCAAGAGATATTATACATTACAATTTTCCAAAGTATTTTTCTAGAAGTTATCCTTGAAACTAAATCAAAAGAATTCCTAAAACCCTTCTATGAGGGCTTTGCATAAAGTCATAATAGCACAAGCCTACAAAGAGGATTTTCAAATCATGACATAGAGGAAACATTGCCTTAATTCATCCTGCAAACAAAATGGATGACAGCTGAGTTTTCCTTCAAATAATTTTCAAGAACCTGAGGCTTGAGTGCTTCATCAATTTGAAAAAGTGAAGAGACACTTTTAGAACCAATTTGCAACATCAATAACTGGAATTTGCTCTAAATACTTGAAGTGTATCACACAGAAGAGTGATATAAGTGTTTCCCTCCTAAAGTTTCTAGATCATTGTATGCAAAGCTTCAAATATATCATTCGTCTGTAAGAGGCAGGTCCTCCTGAATGATGAAATTTTTTAAAGTATGGGGCAGTCATTTCCAAGTTATTCCACAGCAGGTAAACTTCTATCTTAAACTCATAAATCTTTCCAACTAAATTATCTTTTGACAGTCAAAGACAATCCACATGACACAGGAAAAAATAAGTTGTGCTTAACATTCAAATTTAAGCCAAAAGTCATACCTATATCATATTATTTTCCCTAAAAGACAGCTAGGTGAAGTATAGCATTTCTCATTAATCATATAGTCAGTAGTGATGACACAGTTTATCTTAGAAACAGATGAGTTTTTTTCCACATTAATTTTTTAATGATTTATTGATTTGAGAGAGAGAGAGACAGCCTGAGTGGGAGGGGCAGAGATAGAGGGATAGAGAATCTTAAATAGACTCCATGCTAAGCGTAGAGCCCCATGTGGGGCTTGATCCCAGGACACTAAGAGCATGACCTGAGCTGAAATCAAAAGTCGGACAGTTAACCAACTGCTCCACCCTGATGCCCTTCCACATTAATTTTTGCCAACAATCTAGGTTATCATCCAAATGTGAAAGATATTGTAAAATCCATGCTTTTTGATTTGAGTATCTCACATCATAAAAATTGACATCCTCTGTTTGCATTATACTTCATCCAAGTCTGTACTCTCTTAACAGAAAGTGACTAAAGACAAACTAAATGTACTAAACACTTTCTTAAATATTTCAGTCATCTCCATTATGAAGATAAAAAATCTAGAGATCAGAAGGAATATGGAGTAAATACAAAGGTTAAAATTCTAGCTTTCTGTCCTCAATATTTATATTCTATTAACTCCACATTACATAGTTCTCTTCTCTGATAAGAACAATTACAATATGATGTATGTTTTAATTTTTATTAACATTATAATCTCATTAATATGGCTATTAAATTCAGTTAAACACATTTATAATATTGTTAATAACATAACTTTCTGAAGTAAAAGGGAATGTTTTTCATATCTCTATTATCTACATTCACATAGTACCTGAAATACATTTTTGTCAATTTTTAACTAATTATATGACTTTATCATTTGTCCTTGATTCAGATTTTTTTCATTCTAATATTTACCCAACCTACATTTACTTTGTAATACTGAAAACTTTAATGATTTAATCAGTGCCCCAAATTTTCATATGCTTGTAAAATATGAAGCTCTCTGCCATCTAGGCCACAGGTAATCAACTCTATTTAGTAGCATAATTTTTTTTTTTTTTTTTCCAAAAACACTAAAAATTTTACTTTAAATTTGCTATTTAAATGACATATTAAAGACTGAAACAAAAAATAAAACAGAATTCTTATTAGATCATGGTGAGATTCTTCTCAAGCTGTAGAACGGTTTCCTTAAAGGCAGAATCCTCTGCCCAATTGGCTTTACTTCCTAAAATGAGGTTCTGAAACACATGTTGAATAACTGTCGTAATTTGTATCTCCATCTGCAGGTTTTGTTGTATGGTCTTTATCTTGTCTGAATTTTCCATATTGGCCAAATCATTTTTCTGTTTGTTCTTTTCAGTTTGTATTTCTAAAAGCTTACTTTCTGAAGCTTGTTTTAATTGTAATCTCTTCTTCCTAACATCAAGTAGTTTTTCCTCCAAATCCCAAGATTCCTGGTGTGATTTCATTATTAATTTGTTTAGCTTTAATACATGTTTCATGTTATCCATGAGCACACTAGTCTTGGGGTTAATTTTCTCCAGGTTTTTTTTAAGTGCAGCCGAAAGTTGCATCCTGTCTAATGCAAGCTTTTTTATTTCAAAAGCAATTTTCACATCTTCAATTTCATTTTCCAGGTCTTCAATTTTAGCTTCAATTTGCTTATCTTGCATGATTTGTTCTGGAGTTTTTTCTTCATTTGCATCAACTACTGATTTATATTCCAAGAGTTGTTGTTTTGTCTGTGCTCTTAGCCTGAGCAGCAGGGTCAAGCGGTCCTCGGGACGCGCCGTCTGGGCGCCGGCGACCTGTGGTGACCCGCCTTCCCCGCCTCCCGCTCCGGAGTCCGCGGGCTCGGCGGCTGCTTGCTCTCCGGGTTGCTTCTCCATTCTGACTGGCGCGAAGAGGAATCGCCTGGGACGGAAAGAGGAAGCCCGTAGCATAATTATTTTTTAATCAAATATTGCATTCTGTATATAAGTGACATTTTCTCTAATAAGTACTTTTTAATTGTAAGGTGATAAAATGTGCCTACTGTAAATCCCATATATGTTTTTTATTGTTATGTTAATCACCATATATTACATCATTAGTTTTTGATGTAGTGTTCCATGATTCATTGTTTGTGCATAACACCCAGTGCTCCATGCAGAATGTGCCCTCTTTAATACCCATCACCAGGCTAACCGATCCCCCTACCCTCCTCCCCTCTAGAACCCTCATTTTGTTTTTCGGAGTCCATCGTCGTTCATGGTTCGTCTCCCCCTCTGACTTACTCCCCTTCATTCTTCCCCTCCTGCTATCTTCTTCTTTTTCATTTTCTTAACATATGTTGCATTATTTGTTTCAGAAGTACAGATCTGTGATTCAACAGTCTTGCACAATTCACAGCACTCACCATAGCATATACTCTACCCAATGTCTATCACCTGCCACCCCAACCCTCCCACGCCCCACCACTCCAGCAACACTCAGTTTGTTTCCTGAGATTAAGAATTCCTCATATCAGTGAGGTCATAAGATACATGTCTTTCCCTGATTGACTTATTTCACTCAGCATAACACCCTCCAGTTCCATCCAGGTTGTTGCAAATGGCAAGATCTCATTCCTTTTGATGGCTGCATAATATTCCATTGTGTATATATACCACACCTTCTTTATCCATTCATGTGTCCATGGACATCTTGGCTCTTTCCACAGTTTGCCTATTGTGGACATTGCTGCTATAAACATTGGGGTGCACGTACCCCTTCGGATCCCTACATTTGTATCTTTGGGGTAAATACCCAGTAGTGCAATTGCTGGATCGTATGGTAGCTCTACTTTCAACTGTTTGAGGAACCTCCATACTGTTTTCAGGAGGGGTTGCACCAGCTTGCATTCCCACCAACAGTGTAGGAGGGTTCCCCTTTCTCCACATCCCCACCAACATCTGTCGTTTCCTGACTTGTTAATTTTAGCCATTCTGACTGGTGTGAGGTGATATCTCATTGAGGTTTTGATTTGGATTTCCCTGATGCCGAGCGATGTTGAGCCTTTTTTCATGTGTCTTTTGGCCATTTGGATGTCTTCTTTGGAAAAATGTCTGTTCATGTCTTCTGCCCATTTCTGGATTGGATTATTTGTTCTTTGGGTGTTGAGTTTGATAAGTTCTTTATAGATTTTGGATACTAGCCCTTTATCTGATATGTCATTTGCAAATATTTTCTCCCATTCTATCGGTTGTCTTTTGGTTTTGTGGACTGTTTTTTTGCTGTGCAAAAGCTTTTTATCTTGATGAAATCCCAATAGTTCATTTTTGCCCTTTCTTCCCTTGCCTTTGGCAATGTTTCTAGGAAGAAGTGACTGCGGCTGAGGTCGAAGAGTTTGCTGCCTGTGTTCTCCTTTAGGATTTGGTGGACTCCTGTCTCACGTTTAGGTCTTTCAACCATTTGGAGTCTACTTTTGTGTTTGGTGTAGGAAATGGTCCAGTTTCATTCTTCGGCACGTGGCTGTCCAATATTCCCAACACCATTTGTTGAAGAGACTGTCTTTTTTCCATTGGACATTCTTTCCTGCTTTGTCAAAGATGAGTTGACCATAGAGTTGAGGGTCCATTTCTGGGCTCTCGATTCTGTTCCATTGATCTATGTGTCTGTTTTTGTGCCAGTACCATACTGTCTTGATGATGACAGCTTTGTAATAGAGCTGGAAGTCCGGAATTGTGATGCCGCCAGCTTTGCTTTTCTTTTTCAATATTACTCTGGCTATTCGGGGTCTCTTCTGGTTCCATACAAATTTTAGGATTATTTGTTCCATTTCTTTGAAAAAGGTGGATGGTATTTTGATGGGGATTGCATTGAATGTGTAGATTGCCCAAGGTAGCATTGATATCTTCATAATGTTGGTTCTCCCAATCCATGAGCATGGAAAGTTTTTCCATTTCTTTGTGTCTTTTTAATTTCTTTCATAAGTATTTTATAGTTTTTTGAGTACAGATCCTTTGCCTCTTTGGTTAAATGTATTCCTAGGTATCTTATGTTTTTGGGTGCAATTGTAAATGGGATTGACTCCTTGATTTGTCTCTCTTCTATCTTGTTGTTGGTGTATAGGAATGCCACTGATTTCTGTGCATTGATTTTATAGACTGCTACTTGACTGAATTCCTATGAGTTCTAGCCGTTTTGGGGTGGAGTTTTTTGGGTTTTCCACATAAAGTATCATATCATCTGCAAAGAGTGAGAGTTTGAGTACCTCTTTGCCGATTTGGATGCATTTGATTTCTTTTTGTTGTCTGATTGCTGTGGCTAGGACTTCTAATACTATGTTGAATAGCAGTGGTGAGAGTGGACATCCCTGACACATTCCTGACCTTAGGGGAAAAGCTTCCAGCTTTTCCCCATTGAGAATGATATTCGCTGTAGGTTTCTCATAGATGGCTTTTATGATATTGAGGTATGTACCCTCTATGCCTATACTCTGAAGAGTTTTGATCAAGAAAGGATGCTGTAGTTTGAAAAATGCTTTTTCTGCATCTATTGAGAGGATCATATAATTCTGTTCTTTATTTTGTTAATGTATTGTATCACATTGATTGATTTGCGGATGTTGAACCATCCTTGCAGCCCAGGGATAAATCCCACTTGGTCGTGGTGAACAATCCTTTTAATGTACTGTTGGATCCTATTGGCTAGTATTTTGGTGAGAATTTTTGCATCCATGTTTATCAAGGATATTGGTCTGTAATTCTCCTTTTTGATGGCGTCTTTGTCTGGTTTGGGGATCAAGGTAATGGTGGCCTCATAAAATGAGTTTGGAAGTTTTCCTTCCATTTCTATTTTTTGGAACAGTTTCAGGAGAATAGGTATTAATTCTTCTTTAAATGTCTGATAGAATTCCCCTGGGAAGCCATCTGGCCCTGGGCTTTTGTTTGTTGGGAGATTTTTGGTGACTGCTTCAATTTCCTTAGTGGTTATAGGTCTGTTCAGGTATTCTATTTCTTCCTGGTTCAGTTTTGGTAGTTGATACATCTCTAGGAATGCACCCATTTCTTCCAGGTTACCTAATTTGCTGGCATAGAGTTGCTCATAATATGTTCTTATAATTGTTTGTATTTCTTTGGTGTTGGTTGTGATCTCTCCTCTTTCATTCATGATTTTGTTGATTTGGGTCCTTTCTCTTTTCTTTTTGATAAGTCTGGCCAGGGGTTTATCAATCTTGTTAATTCTTTCAACGAACCAGCTCCTAGTTTTGTTGATCTGTTCTACTGTTCTTTTGGTTTCTAGTTCATTGATTTCTGCTCTGATCTTTATTATTTCTCTTCTCCTGCTGGGTTTATGCTTTATTTGCTTTTCTTTCTCCAGCTACTTTAGGTGTAGGGTTAGGTTGTGTATTTGAGACCTTTCTTGTTTCTTGAGAAAGGCTTGTATTGCTATATACTTTCCCCTCAGGACTGCCTTTGCTGTATCCCAAAGATTTTGAACAGTTGTGTTTTCATTTTAATTGCCTTCCATGAATTTTTTTAATTCTTCTTTAATTTCCTGGTGGACCCATTCATTCGTTAGTAGGATGCTCTTTAGCCACCATGTATTTGAGTTCTTTCCAACTTTCCTCTTGTGTTGAGTTCTAGTTTCAAAGCATTGTGGTCTGAAAATATACAGGGAATAATCCCAAACTTTTGGTACCAGTTGGGACCTGATTTGTGACCTAGGATGTGATCAATTCTGGAGACTGTTCCATGGGCACTAGAGAAGAATGTGTATTCCGTTGCTTTGGGATGGAATGTTCTGAATATGTCTGTGAAGTCCATTTGGTCCAGTGTGTCATTTAAAGTCTTTATTTCCTTGTTGATCTTTTGCTTAGATGATCTGTCCATTTCAGTGAGGGGGGTGTTAAAGTCCCCCACTATTATTGTATTGTTGTCAATGTGTTTCTTTGCTTTCGGTGTCCATTAGCATGGTAAATGGTTTTCCACCCCCTCACTTTCAATCTGGGGGTGTCTTTGGGTCTAAAATGAGTCTCTTGCAGACAGCATATTAATGGGTCTTGTTTTTTAATCCAATCTGATAGCCTGTGTCTTTTGATTGGGGCATTGAGCCCATTTGCATTCCGGGTAACTATTGAAAGGTATGAATTTAGTGCCATTGTATTGCCTGTAAGGTGACTGTTACTGTATGTTGTCTGTGTTCCTTTCTGATCTATGCTGCTTTTAGGCTCTCTCTTTGCTTAGAGGACCCCTTTCAATATTTCTTGGAGGGATGGTTTCGAGTTTGCAAATTCCTTTAGTTTTTGTTTGTTCTGGAAGCTTTTTATCTCTCCTTCTATTTTCAAAGACAGCCTAGCTGGATATAGTATTCTTGGCTGCATATTTTTCTCGTTTAGTGCTCCGAAGATATCATGCCAGTCCTTTCTGGCCTGCCAGGTCTCTGTGGGTAGGTCTGTTGCCAATCTAATATTTCTACCATTATAGTTTACAGATCTCTTCTCCCGAGCTGCTTTCAGGATTTTCTCTTTGTCTCTGAGACTCGTAAGTTTTACTATTAGATGTCGGGGTGTTGACCTATTATTTTTGATTTTGAGAGGGGTTCCCTGTACCTCCTGGATTTTGATGCCTGTTTCCTTCCTCACATTAGGGAAGTTCTCTGCTATTATTTGCTTCAATATACCTTCTGCCCCTCTCTCTCTTTCTTCTTCTTCTGGGATCCCAATTATTCTAATTTTGTTTCGTCTTATTGTATCACTTATCTCTCATATTCTGCCCTCGTGATCCTGTAGTTCTTTATCTCTCTTTTTCTCAGCCTCTTTATTTTCCATCATTTGGTCTTCCATATCGCTGATTCTCCCTTCTGCCTCATTTATCCTAGCAGTTAGTGCCCCCATTTTTGATTGCACCTCCTCAATAGCCTTTTTGATTTCGACTTGGTTAGATTTTAGTTCTTTTATTTCTCCA